ATCTTTCAACTGGGAAATCCAGTCTATGGTGTTGTGGGCCCACAGTTCAGTCTGGGACCGTGACCAGATCGCGCTGGCATGTAGCTCTGGGTTGGTGACCAAGCGCCTGGCGGAACCGGGATCTCTTCCTCGGTTTAGCCGGGTAAGTTAAAGCTGATTGAATCCCCCACCGTGGGGTATCCTCTCACCTGTGAAACACAATCCCTTGTGTTTTATGGCCGCGAGTTCTGATTGCTGGTCACTGTGCCAATCCTGCTGTGCTGCTCCTCAGAATGAGAGTCCTCCCGGCACCGCCATCTTGCCCCGCCTTCGATGTCCTGATTTTTGATGGATGTGTTCTTATGCAGACCTCTAGCCAGCTGCTTCTCCAAACAAACTTTGCTGTTTGTTTCTGGAGTTTGTACTTCAGACTGGGTCCATCTGTCTCTGTTATCTGGCAGATAGCAGAGAGGTCTTCAGGAAGATGAGAGAGGTCCACTGGTTTGAGAGTGGATGTTGGTGTTTCAGCTGTTGCTAAGGGAGGAAGGTCGCAGGTGCATGTGCACAAGCATGGGCGTGTGCATGGCAGTGCTTTAAGAGAGAGGGTACTAGATCGTGTAGATGCCTGGAAGGGTAGGGCTTAAGCACGGGAGGGGGTGCGGGTGCTGGCACTGTTCGTGGGGGCAATGCGCATGTGCAGGTGCCCTGAACACTTCAGTGGTGCACAGGCCTGTCGTACTGCCCTCACGCTATTCAGATCATTCTGGGCTCTAGGAATTGTTCGCCTGGACTCCACTGGGAGACCCACAGAACAGTGGCTTCAATGCTGAGATGCTGTTCCAGGATCCCTATATTGCCCACAGTGGGGGTGTGGGTGGAAGGAGCTGATGTCTGTGTGCTAATGTAGAGGGACCCTGGATCTGAGGCCCTGCAAGCAGTCACTTGAAGGTGCACTCACTCGCTCCCAGGCCTAATCTGAAAGCACAGGGACTTCTCCCTGTTCTCTGCTCTCAGATTTGGGCCTGCAGGGGCTAATGAGAGTGTAGGAGATCTGTCAGCTCAGTGGTGTCCACTGTTTGGCCGCTGGGCAGCGAGGCCTGAAATTGAGGCAGCTGCCTCTGTGGTCTCAGTCACAGAGCATGGAGGCTTCTGCTTGGACTAGCTGCTGCCCCCACGTAGCCACAGCTCTGGGATCCAGCCTGTGCCGTTTAGGTCATGGAGCGCAGAAGCTCATGTTTGGGGAAAACACTGGGGCCTCAGCAGAGCAGGGAGGCCTGTGCTTGGGGCAAAGGGAAGTGCAGGGGAGTTGAATTCACCACTCTCAGTCCCTGGAGATGTCCATGAGTGGGACCTGGATCCAAACTGTCCCAGCTCACAGGTGGTCTCCTCTCCCCCAGGAAGCCTCAAATGTGGATGTTCAGGCTTCAGCTGCCCCTCCACTCACCAATTTCAGAGTTTTGGATCCTGCAACCCCCAGATACAGTGTTGTCTGGTCACCACCATCTTGGACCGCCAAGGATGATCTTTTCAAGATCCCACCATTTGCCTGCAAATTTCATGATTTCCTTGTTTTTAATTGCTGAGTAGTATTCCATTTTTTGTTAAGCATTGCCTTATAGTGGCTATCATTGGGAGAAAGGAGACAGACAGTTGATAGCCTCATGGGCTTCTTTTTATTATGAGCCAAATAAGCAACACAGGTGCAGACATCTGGATCTGAGATATCTGCCAATAGGACCCACAGTGCAAATTGGAGCACCTCATTCCAGATTTCCAAGCCTTCCTTTTGGGAGGTTTTTAATCCTCTAGATTTAAGTAGCACTCTAAGGGTGCAAATTTGGAGATCTCTCTGATGTGATGTTGAATTGCCCGTAATTAAGGGGGAAGGAGAGTGTTTGAGACTTTTATGGTCTCTGGGACAATCAGTTCAAGCAGTTGAGAGGCTCATATACACAAATATACACAAAAATATACACAAAAAGTCTTTAAAACAGTTTAAATATATGAGCCTATGGGGGCTATTCCTATTCAAACCTCAATAGGGGGATGAGGGCCAAAGACAGCGAAAGTCAGAACTGGCCTCCTTAACTGACACTGAGCATTAACTAAAGGGAATAACTGTGACGGAGATGGCTGAGTGAGAGCACACAGGGCGAAACAGTCTGGCCTGCTGGATGCTGTGTTCCGTTTCCTATGTGAGCCTTGGTTGTCCTTCCCAGGCTTCCTGAAGCCTGCTGCACCTCTGAATGACCCTCTTCTCACCTGGGCACTTTTCTTTGGTCAGGGAGCGGTGCTTCACAGGTTGAGGGTCAGATATCCTGTTGCAAGTGTCCTGCCCTTAGGTGGTCATTCAGGAATCTTGATTCTAACCTGTGTTGAAGCTCCCCCCGCAGGCTTTGTCTCTGCTTGAGTTTCCATGTTGCCGATTCCCAATCTAAAAGAAGACTTTTTCTCCACCTAGCATTGTCTTGCTGGCCTGGATTCATCACATAGTCCCAAATTATTTGCTCTGAATCTCCAGGAGGGCAGTTCACAGAGGGTTCCAGGCTCCAGGATATCAGTTCAGCAAAGGGGTTTTTGAAATGGCATTCCATAGCCAGACCAGCTTTACAAAATCCTGGCATCTGCCTCTGCAGGTGCCCCTTACACATCCTTGTTTGGCTTTTCCCTCTTCTGTTCTCTAAAGTATCTGTTGCGGGAGACACTGGGCAGATTTTCTGAGCTTATACTGAGGTATGTTTCCACATCTTGGTTAGCACTCCTCACTAAGGGCCAGTCCTGTCAGGACAGATTCTGGTATTTTTCTCATGTTTTATAAAAGTTCTGAACTTTACTTTGCTGTCAAATCTAGAAATGCCAGCCACCAGCCATCTGTTCTAATAACTATTAAATATTTATCTCCACTGTATTCCCTGAGGAGTCTGGAAGACCCTGCCTGCATATCTAAATCTCAAAGGTTATACTACTTCCTTAAAAAAAAAAAAAAAAAAAAAAAAAATTTTTTTTTTTTTGAGACAGGGTTTCTCTGTGTGACCTTGACTATCCTGGACTCACTTTGTAGATCAGGCTGGCCTCAAACTCACAGAGATCTACCTGCCTCTGCCTCCCTGTGTGCTGGGATTACAGATTTAAAAAAGATTTAATTTTATGTGTATTGTTTTTTCCCCCCAAATGTATGCCCATGGGCCTGGTGCCTACCGAGGCCAGAAGAAGGCATCAGATCCCCTGGAACTGGAATTACAGATGGTTGTGAGCCATCATGTGGGTGCTGGGAATTGAACCTGGGTCCCCTGGAAGAGCAGCAAGTAACAGCAGAGCCATCTCTCCAGCCCCAGGTTCTGCTACCTTTTAATGTTACTGTATGGAAAACAAGCTTCTAACACAGTGACCTTGGAGTGACACATTCCAACCACATCTGAGCCACAGCCACATCCCCATCCTTTGTTTCTGAAAGCCAGCACCTGTATCCCTTCTCTCATTTCTGAATGTAGTCATTGGACCTTGCCTCTGCTTTTCTTGGTACATCTAGTAAGTGTTTATGAGGTAAGTTTGAAATAAAAAGGTACTTCTTTGAAAACGAATTAATTAGGGCTTCTCTTGAAACTACAAGCAATGACTACAAGCAACTTGGAGAGGGGAGTTTATTTCAGCTCACAGTTGTTGTCCTCCTGGAGACATTTGGGGAGAGGGACTCTCAACTAAGAAAATGTCTCCAGAAGACTGCCCTGTAGCAAATGTAAATAGTGTATTTTCTTAATTAGTGATCGATGTGAGTGGCCTAGGGAGCAAGCCAGTGAGCAGTGCTCCTTCACACCTTAGGTTTCGGCCCCTGCCTGCCTTCCCTGGATGACGGGCTGGAAGCTGAGATCAGCTCTTTGCCCCAAGTTGCTGTTGGTCACAATGTTCTATTACAGCAAGAGAAACACTAAGACATCCTTTTCAAAGAATCAGTCTTTGGCTTAATTGATTTTCTCTAGACTCTTTCTGTACTCTGTGCTATTGATTTCTATTACAATCATTATGATTTCCATAATTTTGCTCTTTATTTTATTATTTTTTTGTGTGCTGCACTCTCCTCCTTCCGTTGCCTTGCACACATTAGGCAAGCATTCTGTCTGTCACTCCACCCTGCTGTCCCTTCCCATAGTATTAGGGTGAACTGTCAAGTCATGGATTCGAGATCCTTGTTATTTCTTAATATTTTATGCCATTAATTCCCCTCAGTGGACTTCTTTGTTATGGTATGGTCTCTTCACTTGTGTTAGCCTCAAAGTACTTGGTGATTAATCTTGAATTAGTATTTATTGACCTACTCATCATTTAAATGTCACACATTTGAGTTTCTCAAGTCTTTCTGTTGTTGACTGTAATTTCATTTAGTTGTGTTCTGTTGTTTTGGCCTTTAAACCGAGGCTTGCTTTGTGACATGGCATCTCCCTGAGTTACTGCTTAGAGCCTGCCAAACCTTCTGTGTTAATTGTTGTCTTTCCATAAAATTGGGTCATTTTCAGCCATTGTTTCTTAAAATTATTTTTCCTTTTCTTTCTCATCATTCCTAGAAGCTTTCAATAATTTAGTTTCTCAAAATTAACTCTCATCATTTTCATTGGGGAGTGGACCATGCTGATTCTGTACACTGTCAGGTTGGAAGCCAATCATTAAGAGGGTTTTTAATTTATTAGCATTACACAAGAAGGTCCTCCTAGCCTAGGAGTGAACAGGCGGGTGAAGGCATGTTAACAGTGGAAAGAGAATATTTCAGGTAGAATGTACACTGTACTAAAGTCATCTGATAGCTGACATCTAGGAGTTAGGAAGGCTCTCTCAACCTAACCAGTGTATCAAATCAAGTAGTTCAAGGCTTTGAATCACTTTTGCCTAAGTTCTCAAAAACTTCAAACCCTATCCACCACCACCTGCTTATCATGTCCTGCTAAATAAATCATTTTCCTCTCACTGATGGTGACTTGTATAGTCTACTCAAGGCTCTTGTGTTTATTATTCCTGTTTTTCTTCTGCAGACCACTCCACGAACATATAAATGACATGATTCGACAATGGCTTTTGAATCTAAACAGTGAAATCACCAATGATAACACTGAATTCCTTCGCCGCGTACGTATTTGTTTGGCTTTTCAGGATTCTATTTTGCGTTGGTTGGTGATTTCTTTTAAGAAAAAACAAGCCCAACTGAAGCAGGCAGTGAGAAGAGCAAAATGGAAGCTTATTCAAATGATTTTCAATGGAAAATGAAAACGTTTTGCAGAGTGGGTATCACATGATAGGACTCAATATTTGTCTTATGACATGAGGAAGAACATTCTATCACTTTTAAAATCTCAAGGCATTGCTACAGCTAGCCTTTCCACAATATGCTCTGTTTATCATTATTGAGATCCATGGAATCAAGTCATGGATTTGAGAACCTTGTTGTTAGTATTTTATGCTATTGATTCCCCTCAGTAGACTTCTGCATTATGGTATGGTCCCTTCACCTGTGTTAGCCTCAAAGTACTTGGTGATTAATTTTGAATTAGTATTTATGGACCCACTTGTCATTTAAATTTACCAAGATAGAGCTGTAAACAGCTGTGGATTTACAAAATGTCCTCTCTTTAACATTATTTAATTTATTCATTATTTCTCTCTCTCTCTCTCTCCTGTGTGTGTGTGTGTGTGTATGCCAGTGTGTGCAGGTATGTGCCTGGGTGTGTGGGTGCTGGCAGAGGCCAGAAACATCAGATCCCCTCCCCTCCAACTGGATTTGTAGCAGATTGTCAGTCACCTGATATGGGTACTAGAAACTGAGTTTGGGTCCTCTGTAAGAGTAGCATCTTATTGATCAAAATGATTCACTAACAGGATGCATGTGCTTGCTGAGCACTGTACTTCCCTAACATTGACCTAGAGAGGGCATCACTGCTGGGATCTCTGTGCCCTCCACAGCCAGCAGAGTAATGATCTGTGGAAGGAGAAAAGGCAGTTGTGTTCAACATGAGTAAGTGGCCAGTGTTGGTTCAAACTTCAGGAGTCTGACCCTGAGTGGTTTATTTTAGGCATATGTAAATGCAGCACAATTGGGTGAAAACTTTTCTGGTGATAATTAACTCAGTCCTATGTGTACAACAAAGCATACATAAATCTCTTTGAGGAACAAAGTAAGCTAAATAAAAGGCAGATGTGACTGTATCTGAATTCTTTGTAAAGTACATGTGATATCTTCCACGAGATAGATTCTATAGATTGATGGAGATATGCACATGAGGAGGGGAGGGTCTGGGGGTGGGTCCAGTATGGTCTCTGGTCACACACACAGCACAGAGGTCACCAGGCTAGAATGCACAGCTGCTCCCAGTCTTCTGGGTGGGTAACAGGTGTTGCATTCCTTCCCTTGAAGAAACAACCCCGTGTGCTGTAACATTCCAGGTTCCACCCTAGTGTTTATGTGTGAGCACAAGGGCCTCCGTGCCTCCTCCACATCAGCACCCTCATTTGTATATCATGTTGACTTTCCACACAACCATCAACCCACAGACTCTGGAAAGATATGTCATCAAAGGTGATATGATGAGGAAGCTGTGGGCTGCCACATTATACCGCCTCTAACATATGTCCCAATCCCTATTTCCTTCAATAAAGGGTCCTGTGGGGATTCTTTTCAGTTATTTGTAGAGCACTAAATGCCTTAGGGCACAATTTGGCAACTTGAACTTTAATGGCTTAACACCCTTGGTCAAGATAAAGAAGCAAAAATGAGTTTAACACACAATAGTGAGAAAAGAAAAATAGGATTACAGTAGCTAAGTATATGAATTCTTTAAGAATTATAGGTTGTTAAAAGTTGGACATGGGTATAATCATTTCTAATGTTTTGTTTTCTTTTTATGTGTATGTGAGTGGTGTGTATGTGTGTGTGTATGTGTGTATGTGCATAGGTGTGTGTGAGCATGTGTGTGAAGACCTGAGGCTGATGCCAGATAACTTCTTCAATAGCTCGTTTACCTTATTCATTGAGGCCAGGTCTCTCAACCAAGCTCAGAGCTGACCTACATGGCTAGTCTTGTTAGCCAACTTGCTTTTGGGATCCCCTGTCTCCTCCTTCCAGGACTGGAATTATTGGCATACAGGCATGTCCACCGAGCAATGTTTGAACTCTATTGCTAACAAGTGATGTAAAGGCTGAGTCATTATTCCCCAACCCCCTTCTTGACTTTATTATTTAAACATGATTTAGCTTTTGTTGTTTTAAAGTGGTTGTTTAGGTTGTAATCATTTCAACAGATGGATGACCTCCATATAGCTATGATCCAGTGGATGGTAAATATGCTGACCATAATGCTTCCTGACTTTCATGACCAAAACACTCTCCCAAAGCTGGAGGAGGATGAAACTCCTGAGAAACGTGAAGTAAAAATTGCTGAATTAGAGTTTAATGGAATTTCATTGGCCAAGCGGTTGGCACGATACACCGGCTACTTGAACAGGTGACACCTTCTGGTCCTGCATTGCTGTCCATTTGAAGGTTAATGCATGTAAGGTAAAACAGATATCAAGGTAACAACATTAGGGGTTATTTTAAAACCTTGAAAGAAATACTAGTCCAAGGCAGGAGGGTTATGACTTTAAGGCCAGGGTGGCTACATAACAAAATTCTGTCTCAGAAAAGAAAGAAATCCTAGCTCAGGCTTTCAACTTGCTTCAACACTGTGTTCAGTGGAAATACAGGATTCTTTTGGGAAAAGTGTTGGCAGAGGGAGGATAGGAAGTATACTATGTAGACTTGAGTGTTAGTTTTTTAAAAATGACTGGCTCACTTCCACTTTTATGTGTACTGGGGAACAATTAAGATGCTTGCAGTCGTGGGGCTTGGACGATGGTTCAATGGGTAAAGTGCTTGTCACATAAGCACTGAGTTTTGTCCCCAGTACCCACATAAAAAACAAGCATTTTGTCTGTCCCTAGTTCTGGGGGTCGGGAGAGCCAGAGGTAGGCAGGTAGATCCCTGGAACTTGCTAGCCAGTCAGTCTAGCCAAAGAGTAAGTGCACATTCAGCAAGAGACTCTGTCTCAAAAAGTAAAGTAGAGCACAATAGTGGAAGACACCTGACATGAACCCCTGGCTTACAATACCCTCCCACAGAGAGAGAGAGAGCAAAATAAAACAAGATGCTTCTAAGTCCATGAAAAATTGAATTTATAACTTTTGTGTGTTTCACTAAAGACTCACCAATTGTCTTTTATAAAACTGAAAAAACAAAAAAGGAACACCTGCCCTGAGTGTGGTGGCTCACACCTGTAATCCCAGCATCTAAGAGGCAGGGCGAGGCAGATCTCTAGTCTAATAGTGAGCTCTAGGGCAGCTAGATCTACATGAAGAAAAGTTGTCTCAAAAGCAAAAACAAAAACAACAAAAACCAAACCAACCCAACCAACCAAACAACAACAACAAAACAAAAACCCAAAGATAACAACCAAAAAAATCTGGGTATGGCAGCACGTGCAAGTTCTTGCGTTTGGGAGATGGAAGCAGGAGGATCAGGACCTCAAGGCCAGCCTTGGCTACATAGTAAGTCTGAAATTAGTTTGGGCTACATGAAATGCTGTTTCAAAAAGAAAAAGAAAGAAACAAAAAGAAAAACTATCTGAAAAGTTAGAATTGCAAAGCCAGAAGATTCATATCAAGTAAAGATGAGGCATGAAAACTGTAACCTGTGGATTAAATTGTGATTAAATTGTGGATTAAATTGCAAGTGGTTACTTTTAGTTTTAGAAACAGCTCATAAAATCAAGCTGAATTTGCCTTTTATTTCAACTCAAGTTTACAAATGTTCTGTTGGTTTGAAGAAAAGAAATCCCAATTGTTCAGTTTTACCAATAAAGAGCCAGATGCTGAGGTAAAAGCCTGTCAGCTCAGAGAGGCAAAGAAAGCACCCAGCTGACCTTCATACTAAGAAGAGGAAGAGGAAGAGGAAGAAGAGAAGAAGAAGAAGAAGAAGAAGAAGAAGAAGAAGAAGAAGAAGAAG